GGCTTTTTATTCGATTTGAAACGGCTGCTTAGAATCTCTCACGAGAGATTTTTCGACTAAAGAATTTCAACAGAATTCTTGTTTTTTTTTAATTTGTTAATATTAATATTTTAACTATCGATAAATTTCTTTCAACATTCAGCTACTTGTTCCTCTGAACAAAGAGTAAAAATTATTTCATTTAGGGTTTTATCATATTTATGTGAAAAATACCATTAATACAGTCCATAAAAAAATGATCTTTATTACTGTTATTTATGATAGTAAATATAAAAAGAATCGATGTTTTTTTGCTGGATGTGACGTTAAATATAAAATGTATATTGGCTAAAACATTTATATTCGTGAATTTAGTAGAATGATTGTCATTATTGATATTGATTATCTCGTTTGATACAACAAAGTTCAAAGTATTGATCGAATAATAAAAGAAAATATTATGAAAATTTGTTTTTTAAATATAAGGATAAAAAAAAATCATCGATGTCATTATTATTCACTTTTTAAGTATTGCAAGATGAACATGTAAATCAATTCATATAATGATTCGTTTTTACATTTTTCTAGATTTTAATGTTAGTAGATGGCACAAAAAATAAAAAAGTATATTTGCATAGTAACAAATAATTAAATAAATATAGGTTAAAATGACGTCGATAATATTAGGAATATCAAAAGCATATGCATTCTCCAACATCCAGATATTCACAAATAATTACTTGTCATATTTATGTCTATGAATTAACGAGAATAACTATTCTGGAATGTTCTCCCTTATCAGCTAGAATTGATGGATACAAACAACAATCTTAGTTTCTTAACATAACAAAGAAAACCATATCTGCAGTAAAATGATATTATTTCATCTAACGATTGCAAAAACTTCGTGAACTCTTCTATAATATGTAATTATTCCTCAAATTGTTCTTCATATCAGGACGCTTTCAGAAGTGATAGCCTCATCAGGCAAGAATCTTGTAGACAACAAATAACAAGATCACTCAGAATACGAAACTGACTAATCCTGCGAAGTTTCAATCAGGATCTGATACAGAACTTTTCAGGATTACTTGTTTTCAAATCTTGCAAGACAATGTCAATCTTAATCACAGAATTTTGATAAGAAAATGTAAGGATTTAGCAAGGACCTTTACAAATGTCTGCTTAGTTCACTCGGCCATGTCCATTTCTTGAGAAACAGCCTTGAAGGATCTTTCAGAATCATCCTAAATCTCAAGGATCCTGTCGTGTCTCAGTCGGAATTCAATTCAGGATTTGTTCAAGCTCTTCCTCATATTTTTTTTCTGAATTGAGTTTGTAGGATCTAACTAAGATTCACTGTCAATCCTATCCAGACACTTGACAAAAATTATAGAGAGAATTTCATCAAGATTTTATTAGGTTTGAGTCAAGATCTGTTTTGGATTCTGATAGGAGGACACTGCCAAGAGTTATAGTTATATCAGGGAAGGATCATACCAGGAATAAAACACGATTAATCAGAATCCTTAAGTAAGAAGTCTTGCCAAATTTCGATCAGATTTCTGAGAACGGAACTGTTCACGAACAGATATTTCGAATGCTTACAACAAATACAAGGATGATCAGACAATCTGAAATACATATGTAAAATGATATTGAATTTTCAGAATTTTTTCGGAATAATTTATATTCGATAGAATTCAAATGGAAGTTTACATTAAAGTAAGAAATTAAGATATAGAATGACATGACACATCCAGCTGGGTAAGCTAGTTGGTATATAAACTGAAGATCTAAAGATCGATACTCTATGTCTTCATTTCTTTTATTTTCTATTTACAAAATCCTGCAAAGAAACTTATAACATCCTGAAGCAAACCTAGGTCAATCCTATAAAGATCCTGTCAAGAAATTTGGTAACGTGTTCGAGGAAACCTAATCAAATCGTGAAAGAGATGGTCAGAAATCTTTCTTTTTCCAATTTCGAATTATTGAAATCCTCACAAAATCCTGAAAAACCATGGCTACATGCTTCTTTCAGAATTTAGCCATTGCCTCAGGAAAAAAGAGCGAATTCTTGCAGGATGCTTAAGATATCTGACAAGGATCTGACGCTGAAATATCAAAGATTTTTCTTAGGGTATACAAACATGTCTCTCTTATTGAGGATGCCACAAAAATCTTTATCATACACATCACCACATATGTCTCTGCTGAGAGTGCTCGGAAATCGTGATTTCACATGAAAAACTGATTTCTTGACGGATGAACTTGATAAAATTCGGTTGAAAATCTTTGAACTTTTTATTTAGGATTGAGGATTTACTGCTCAATGAGTGCTAAAGCATCTGATTCATTGAAATTTTTGTACTCACAATGGCAATGTCGTCTATGCAAAATTTCGACTAAAAAATCTGAAAACTTTTGAAAAAATCGAAGATCTTGGCTAGTACTAAGCGATCTTTGAAAAATTTCTTCCCAAAGTATAAAATCGTTACAAAATAGCTTTTAACGATCGGAGACTACGTTTTGAGGAATTGTTTCAACTTGGAGAAAAAAATAACTATGAGAAAACATCTTATGAATCGATATATTTCACTAGAATTTTTCGAGATTTCGCATCACTATGAATTAGGACTGTCATATTTTCATTATTGTTACTGGTAAGTGGTAAGTGACCCAGCGTATCAGTAACAGTAATGGGAATATAACCACCCTAGTTTTAAAAAACTACATGAGAGTTGTTTTATTTCTTTACAGGCGATCTAGAACTAGTCTCTACAACATTGCAAGATCTATCTATCACCAGTTACATACCTTTTCAAGCTCTACCCAGGAGTAGCTCATAAATCCTTTTCTACTATTTGGGTGTGAGTGTGGATGTGGATGTAGTACATCTCTTGGTCAATATTCACACCCCACCCCACACCAACACCCACATCCACACATTCTAAGTAGATTAAACAAAACAAACTTGAAAAAAAGAACACGTGAATTACTTATCGATCTAAAGAGAAAATGTTTAAAAACAAATAAAGATCAAAATGTAATTTAGATTCGTCTAACAGTGAATTTGAAGAAGTTGTGCTGATCGCTACGACTCTTTATGATGGGTGAGGGTGTGGGTGTCTTCTATTGTACTACTCATATCCACACCCTCAAGATGGTTCATGGTCATGATAATTTTAAGTTTCAGTTCATTCGAGAGTGTTACAATTTAGTAATCATCTGTTTCTATGCAATACCTAACACGTGAATTACGATAAAAAATTGAAAAATGACAAATATATACGTCTAATCAAGTCGAGTAACGATTTCCATTTCAAGGCCAGGTGACAAAATCGATTCAGGACAAATTGGAATCAGTTCTGGATCTTTATGAATGTATTCTATATAACCAGTACCATTACGGACTAAAAGTGAACAACGTAATGCAGGTTCACTATCATAAATCTGTACACATTCATGGAAGACATAGGTATCGCCAATTTGTTGTAAAGGTGCTGTCATTGTCAATGTACCGTTCTCACCAGTTGAAAATGTTACATTTGCATACCATTTTCCAAATCTAGCGTTGGCCGATGTACCATCGGCAAATTCTGCATGAAAATAACCTGTCATCCATTCAGGAAAAGGAGCTCCGATTCGACAAAACGATGAAGATGTTACGATGGATATAAAAGTGACACCGAAAATAAAAGTGAGAATAGTGTATTTATCCATTATTTAAAACAAGGATAGATCACCAATACTGAAAATGATGCTATAGCTTTGATCAACAGAATATATTTGTGCACACTGCTCTGCATAGATGGGAATAAATATCATCTGGATTTCAAAATAGTACAGAAATGAATATGATAAGTTTTATCTTTGATTTAAACGCTCTTTTATTCACTCGAATTTATCGTGTATGTATTTAATAGTATTAATGCTGGTTTAGACGTGTCATTTTACTTTCAAAATTGAACTTATATAGTAATATGGATTAATGTAGTGATTAAATGGAGGTATCACTGGGGTGGTGCAATTGGTTTTATAAGCAACATCAGTCATCGAATAATTTGCTAGAACTAAAATATTTAAAGAGTGTATATTATATACATTTTTTTACTTGATGTCGAAAGAATGATGTAATGGGTAATTATGCAATTTTTATTCGCTGAATAATAAAAAAAATACTTGTCGGCGCCGAGAGTCGAACCCGAATGTTGACGTTGGCAACAGCAAATCTTGACCATTAGACTACACTGACATGAATTAAATACCATCATTCTTCTTTAGATTTATCAATAATAAGATCTAGTTGATATCAATGCCGATGTATGTTCTAAACAAATAGCATAAGACATATTTCACATGGAGTTGTCTATATGAATCAAATATTGATTGAATAAAAATAATCAACCAGTAGTGATCTGCATTGATAGAGTTGTCGAAAGATCAAAGATATTCAACGGTGAAATTTCATGAAAATATATTCGACAATTATTTTGTCAAAATTTTATTGAATAACTTGACATTGGTACCATACTCTGTCTCTCTTATCAAGTTCAATGTATGGTTCACTTAGCGGGTGGATGGTTTGATATTGAAAACCACACTAAGGGTGTGGGTGTGTGGGTGGGTGTGGGTGTGGGTGAGTGTGGGTGTGGGTGTGGGTGGGTGGCTGGGTGTGGATGTGTGGATGTGGGTGGATGTGGTATAGGATGTGGATATGGATGTGGGCGTACAAGTTCAATCGATATCCACACTCACACACCCGACACCCACACCACAGAACCCACACCCCAACCTCACACACCCACACCCCACCCACACCCCACCCACACCCACACCCACACTCACACCCATCCACACCCACCCACACCCACACCCACACCCCACACCCACACCCCACACCCACACACCCCACAATAAAAAAAGAATCAATTGTAATGTGTTTCTTGACAAGAAAACCAAAACAATTTTTTTCTTATTTAAATATTCGATCGAATACAGGTTTATAAAATAAATTTTTAATCTTGATATGGTTCAAGATCACTTATATCATCAATAGCAATTTCTTCAATAGGATGACTAAAATATTCTGCAATTGATCTCATTGTAATAACATCATATAATGAATTGATTAAATTAAATACGTAACCTCAAAAGAAAACGAAAACAAGATTTTAAATATTTTAGAAAAAACACACATACCTGGTCTATTAAAACGACCACAACGACCAATTCGATGAAGATATGTTTCATAATCTGGTTTAAAGTTCACAAGTTCAGGCATATCATAATTAATAATTAATGACACATCCGCAACATCAATACCTAAAAATAAAGTAGATGATCATATTCTATTATTTCTCATAGAAATAATAAAGCTGGTCTTGCTGGAAAATGTCGAAAAGGAAAACATCGACAAGGTAAATGTTGAAAAAATTATCCAAAGGGGAAATATCGAAAAGCAGGACGTCGAAATAGAAAATAGCGTGGAAGGAAAATATCGAAAGTAAATTGTTGAAAAGGAGAACGTCGAAAGTGATAAAAAATGTCAGTAAGAGGATGTCGATGTTGATTTCATTTTCGATAAGCAATATCAACGTCTACGAGTCATCGCATCATCATCATCATTAGATGACCTATTTTTGTACTTCGAGCGTCAATGGATGAGTGGTCTCTTCCGATGCAGATGTGGAACTTCAACGACTTTGATCATCGAAGAAACAACATCTGCGAGAATGTGTACATGACGATTCTGTTTCTAAATATGTGCGAATTTTCCACATATTTGTTTTTTTTTCGTGTTTTCTAGCGTACAATTTACGATTCTCTTCATGTTTACCAAGAAATCATCCAAATATTTGGGCATTCGTGCAATTCATTAAATTGGAGCATGTTCGATTAGAACATATTTTGATTCAACTGGCTGCTGGAGCATCAGCAACAAAACAGCCATTCAAGACAAAAGCCTTTCAAAATCGATTCGCTACTCTTAATGGAAGATTTCTCAATAAAGAAATCAATGTAAAAGAACTTTTAACAGCTCTTTGGTTCAAGATTGGAAAAAGAAAAAAAGTGAGTTGCGAGTCAATTTTTACCTGCGATCTTGTCATTCTAATGTTAAGAAATAAAATGAGTTCGTTGTCTGTCAAAGAAAATTTATTGTCATATTCGACGTTTTCCTTTTCGAACTTTTCTGTCAACCCCATAAACCTATTAGTGCAATCCCTATGGGATTAAAATGTGAAACATGATCTAAAAGTAGACTTGTTGAGGCTATCTGTATCGGGTTTGGTGGAAAACGCCGAAAACAAAAACATCGAAAAAGTAGGGAAATGTCGAAAAGGAAAATATAAAAGGTGAAAATATCGAAAGAGAACATGCTGAAAGAAAAGATCGTGCAAAACTCTGATTTGAACCGTCCCATTTGTTATTGTTTCTGGTCAAATCAGCTCACTTTCATAAACTATAGTATCTCTAGTCATTCTTTCAGAAAGTAAACTCAACAATTCAGTATAACTGTATTGATAGATGCCGTACCCACATCCTCGCTCTGACATCCTCACAGTTAACAGTGTAAATACGGCGTCTACTATAACAGTCATAATGAGTCATTGAATATACTTCTGAAAGAATGACTATAGACACTATAGTTTATGAAAATGAGTTGATTTGACAAGAAACAATAACAAATGAAATGTTTCAAATCAGTGTTTTGCACCATCTTTTCTTTCAACATTTTCTCTTTCAATATTTTCACCTTCTATATTTTCCTTTTCGACGTTTTCCTGCTTTTTCTCGGCATTTTCCTTTTCGGTGTTTTTCTTTTCGGAGTCTTCCGTCAATCCGGCTCAACCCTCACACTCTCATCTTCACCCTTCTTATAAAACATTTTTTTTCGGTGTATGTGAACTCTTCCAACGAAATAAATACACTGAACTTTTTGTCTTGCACTGAAAAATTATTTATATATGTTCGATCTGTTTACATTTCGACATTAAATATTGCGAGATTTTTATGTTCTACATTTTTACCCTTCGATTTCTTAACTTTCGACATTATTATCTCTCTATATTTTTATCTTTCGGTATTTTTCGATCAAATTAGGGTTAACCGCCTTCTCAGTCATGGTCTGTGACGGTATGTCGATCACGCCTGTAGGGATTGCAAATTTCTACCCCTATATACTTCAATACTCCTTTTAGATCGTGTTTCACAAAAGAAAATAATATGATTCAACTTGCCACGAGTTGCAACATTTGCTGATATAAGTACACCAAATAAACCTTCGCGAAATTGGCTCATAACTGTTCTACGTTGTTCAATATCTAAAGCTGATGTTAATTCTCGTACTGAATGTTTTTGATTCGCCATTCGAACAGCTAAACTGCGTGCTGTTGCTATTTTTCTACAAAAAATGATTGCTTGTCCAATAGTTAAGGAAGCATAAATTTGTTCAATAGCATCATATTTTTGGTGTGGAATATCACAAAATACAAAAAATTGTCTTATATTATGTAATGCTTGTGTTTCACGTTCTAATCTTAAAACAACTGGTCTTTGAGTAAGTCTACATGCAAGTTTGATAGCATCATCTGAATATGTAGCTGAAAATAACATCATTCGACAACTGGAATCCTTAAGATATAATCGAAGACTAAAAAGTATTTGTTGAAAATCTTCGGCTGTTATCAAAACATCAGCTTCGTCAACACAAAAAATACGTAATCTACTTAAATCTATAACACGTAGTCGACGGCACCAATCTTCAACTGTACCTGGTGTGCCAATCACAATCGGTTCAGCTAAAAGTTTTCTACGGACAAGATTAGGTTTTTTTGACATTGTTGGATCACGGACAGCATAAGCAATTTGAATATATGGCAAAAATTGTGCCATTTTTTCAATAACTGAGCCAATCTGTAGTGCTAGTTCATATGTTGGTACAATAATAAGTGCTTGTGGTGATTGATTAGCTGGATCAATCCGTGATATAATTGCTATTGAAAACGCAGCGGTTTTGCCTGTACCAGATTGGGATTGTGCTATTATGTTTCCTAGAAGAAAAAAATTACTTAAATGATAATGTATTTAAAAGATAAATTTAACTTACTTGATGGGTTGTTCAATAAATGATATAGAACTTCTTCTTGAATTTTGCTTGGAGCTCGAAAACCCATATTATAAATACCTGTGAAATATGAAAGTATTGAAATACTTTAACGGTATAAAGAAGAATCGGTGATCAGCTTGTCAACATCTCCAAATAATTACGGATTGATATTCGTTTAGGATACATATCTGAAGTCTCGCATGTTACGAGCATCGAGACTTCAAATGTGAAAATTTTTCAAGGCAATCTTGTATTTTCTGAATAATGAAATTAAAACTAATGTTGAGTTTTAGTTACTTTACAGAATAGTATTGTTTTAGCTTCATTTTGAAATAGTTTGTAAAATTACCTCTTTATAAATTCGGATTAAGATTGAATTCTTGAAACGTTCTTCTTGAATAAAATGGGGAATCCAAATTACTACCGAGCATATCCATCTAAAGCATGCCACGTTTAGATCGAAGTTCGGTGCCAGCGACGGGATCTAGTGTATCTTGTAGAAAATTTCTTTTCTGATTAAAACGTAAGTGGTGAAAAACTCAGAAGTAATGCACGACTTGGAATTGAGTCAAAATACTTTTATGCTGACAATGGTAAGGTGCTCCCAGAGAAAAATTTCGATCCTTGTATTTTGACATGGTTGGATAGAGCTCGCCGAGCTGATCATGAATATTACCTTTAAAATATTTTTTGATCGAATTTTGGTTGAAAAATCTTCGAAATATGAGTAATACTCTCAAAACTGGACTTTTGAGTATTTTTCAGGAAATTTCAAGATTTCGCTCACTTAGACTAATGATAAATCTTTGAAACTAATTAAAAGTTACACAGTTCGACTCATTTTCTGACGCTGAATCTCAATTAATTAGGTTCAAAGATTTACTATTAGTCTAAATGAGCGAAATCTTGAAATTTCCTGAAAAATACTCAAAAGTTCAGTTTTGAGAGTATTACTCATATTTCGAAGATTTTTCAGCCAAAAGTCGATCGAAAAATATTTTAAAGGTGATATTCATGATCAGCTCGGCGAGCTCTATTCAACCATGTAAAAATACAAGGGTCACAATTTTTGCTCTGGGAGCACTTTACCATTATCAGTCTAAAAATATTTTGACTCTATTCCAAGTCGTGCATTACTTCTGAGTTTTCCACCACTTACGTTTTAATCAGAAAAAAATCAAGAGGGAAAAAACTGAATTTTTGATTTACCAGATTGCTTTAAATGACACGTGTTTGCCAATGATTGTCCACACTCTTTTATACCGAGAAAGTATCAATTCGAGTTCATTTTGACTAGGATAAGGGTGTGGGTGTGGGTGTGAGGGTGTGGGTGTGGGTGTATGAGGGTGTGGGTGGGTGTGGGTGTGGGTGGGTGATGTGGGTGAGTGTGGGTGTGGTGTGGGTGTGGGTGTGGGTGTGGGTGTGGGTGTGCGGTGTCGGCGTGGGTGTGAGTGTGGATGTGAGTGGGTGTGGGGTGTGGGGTATGGCTGTGGCTGTGTGTGTGGGGATGTGGCTACACATGACAATAAGACTCACTTCCACACCGACACCCGCAGCGACCCGAACACCCACACCTACACCCAGCCACACGCACACCCACACCCTTATCTCGTGTAAAGAAGTGACACGTTTCGAATACTTTTCAAGCTATATGCTTGTCTTCATTGTGCTCTCTATTATATTTACACTCGTAGTCTCTCATTGTTTTTTCTGTCTAATGATTACTAATAAGGATATGACTAGTTTCTTGATTATTCATGTGTCTGTCTGACGATAAGTAAGAGAAGCTCCTAAGCACATCAAAAGTATTTATTTTTTTCAAGAATTTTCAAAATAATCACCCCATCGTCATATATACTCATGCAAATTAATGTGTTAACTGTTAGGAAAATAAAGAACTGCATGCAATACTCATCAATTTTCTCATGTTGAAATAGATTTCCATACATACTTAAAAGATTATTACATATGTTAGAGTATATATGGCCCTACAAAACTATTTTAGTATGGTAGAAATGCATTTGCTTTGTTTTTGAAAAAGTCAATTTCAAAATCAGAAGTCATAGGATCTTCAATTATTCACAACTAAAATCGATGAAGTACCTCTATGTGATCGTCATCAAAAAAAGGTGGCTTCAAATCGTTTTTCGTCTCATGTTTGGAAATCGATCGTTGCTTTCAATTAGTAAAAGTAATAAAAATAAGAAAAGAAATATACTGAGGCAGAAATAATAATATCAACAAGTTAGTGGAAAGATATGTTAAATTACAAAATGCATTTTTTTAGTCATCAAACAAAGGTCTATGTCATCATCTATGTCAGACTTAACTGTTCCTCGTACGAAAAATATTAGATTGGCTAAAATCAAATGAAAACGATTTTATGTAATACTTTGGGCCAATATTTTGATGAAACATAATTTCATGTCTGCCATGTGCTTCGAAAAGTATATCTGAAATGTAATTTATACAAAAACTATAGTAGACGGTATTGATAAAGATTGTAAAGAAATGCATTCTTGCATGACGGTAAGCACATTAATAAAACGAAAAGAAATTTAGGAGTATCATGTTTGATACAGAATGATACAGAAAAATATATATAAATGGATGGCTTGCTTGCTCACCTCCTTTTCACAGTGAATCATGTATTCGCATTGAAATACGAACTGGTTTGTCGTATTGATCCCGAAGAAAAGGGGTGATATTAATGTGCTAATTTTTTTATAACTTAAATTTTCTAACATTTATACTTAAATAAGTATAGAAAAAAACCCACTCTTCTCATTCTGTCAACCTTCGTAGAGCAATCACCTGTAAATTTAAGAATGAAACAAGTCGCGAAGGTAATTATAAAGGAATCATGATCTGTTCGAGCTCTAGAAACAGATATTCTCATAGATAGATAAGAAACTTTATCTCTGTTAAACATAATTTCTATTTGAATGCTATTGATCCCTACATATCCCACGATAACGAAAATAGGTGTTTGTGGTCTCTGCGAGCTGAATTTCTTATTTGAAATATGATTTTTTTTTTGTTTAAAATGAATCGTTTTGTGTTCGTTACCTTGAATGTTTTATTATTGTTATGTGCAGCCCTTCGCAGTAGAGTGTTTAGTTGACAAGAACCGAACAAATAACATAAAATAAGGCAAAAACAGACAGAAGTGCAGCGTAAAATGTTGCTATGAGGCAAAAACAACAAACGAACCATTCAACAGAAAAACAGACTTTTCTAATAGACACAAAACTCCACGAAATCAGAGTCAATCATCATTGAGAATTACTCGATATAGTTGGTTTTAATTACTGCATTTTAGTGAGTCGCTTACTCGGATGCGTTCTAAGACTAGAAAGACTATTTTAAGCGCCATAAATAGAGCTAATATATGATGGGAATGTTGATTACACATGTTTTCGACAGATATGAAATCGATATCCATTATTGACTTCAATGAATTTACCTTGTTGCATTCCTTTTTTTATCCCAGCCAATTCATCATCTTTGCTTAGCACAGATTAAAATCGAGCTATTAGAATAATTTGAGTGGAAATCTCATGAGAAAAGGCATAAATATAGTATAATGAAATAGTCGAAATATGGCTGCGACTGTGGACGAACACCTTTTGTTTCATAAAATGATTTGATCAAGATGAGAAAAAAATGAGCTACAGAACTATGTCTCAGCATGAGCAAATGAACATTTTGGATGTGGGTGTAGGTGTGGTGAGTGTGGGGTGTGAGTGTGGGTGTGGGTGGGTGTGGGTCTGGAGTGTGGGTGGGTGTGGGTGTCAGTGTGGATGTGGGTGTGGACGTGGGTACGGGCGTGGGCGTGGGTATTGGTGTGGACGTGAATGTCGATGCGAGATTCGAATACATCTCCATCCACATCCACACCTACCCACACCCTCAAGATATCGTTCTGAATTCATGAAAATTACTGCCGTTACTGCGAAATGAACAACGTGCGTCAATTGATGTATTGAGTGAGGGTGTGGGTGTGGGTGTGGGTGTGGGTGTGGGCGTGGGTGTGGGGTGTGGGTGTGGGGTCTGGGTGTGGGGTGTGGGTGTGGGTGTGGGTCGGTGTGGGTGTGGGCGGGTGTGGGTGTGGGTGTGGGTGTGGATGTGGGTGTGGATGTGGGTGTGGGTGTGGGTGTAGGTGTGGGTGTTATTCTCTTCTTCGTTCACACCCTCACACCCACACACCCACACCCACACCCACACCCACACCC